AGTGGTTTTGCATTCATCCATGCCAACTCTTTTGCGGATATAATAGCCGTTGAGGCTGTGCCGCTTGACCAGATTGATGCAGCCTCAGTACAGAAGGGGCTTGCAGAGTTCACCCAGAAGCTGAGCTCAGCCACAACAGAACTGGAGAAAGCTGAAGCCCAAATTGGAATAGATGTGCATAGTGCTCTCAACACGGCCATCACAAGCTAGTGTTGTGAGTTCTTCGGTTTAATCATTTCTCATTTTAATTCTCTTTGATGCTGCCTCATTGATGCGTAGATTTGTCCATGGATCTGGATCGAGTGTTTTGCTCTTTTATTTCATGTTGAATGCAGAACAAATATAAATAATCCTTCAATGGATTTTACCTGGTTTGCAGAACAATGAAGGAACCTTTAAGAAACAAGTAGTCATATCGTCTCCATCCTTCCGTGACCCTGCATTTTTTCGGGTGTTAGTAAAATTCCTGAGCTTGATACTTTGCATAAAACGTAAAAGGCTTAATTTAATTTTTAGTCTATTAACTATCACCTTGATTTCATTTTAGTCTAGAAACTATGTTTTATTTCTAAGTGGTCTATTAACTTTCAGATTCATTTCAATTTCGTCTACTTGGTCAAAGATAACCGAAAACTTCCTATTCGGTTAGAGAACAGTTAGTCCTTTAACTATATTTTTTTTATTTTTTAATCTTCAAATTTATATTTGTTATAAAAATAGCTTTTATACTTAAAATTATTATTTTTAGGCTATGATACCAGATTTTTATTCGGGTTTTCAAAACTTAACTCAGTGAATTCAAGATGGGGTCGGTATTTGTTAGCAGTCTAGTAGATCTAATGCCACACTAACTGAGTTTAACATACCAGTTATTTACTGAGTTAAGTTTTGAAAATCCGAATAAAAATCTGGTATCAAAGTCTAGAAATAATAATTTTAAGTATAAAAGCTATTTTTATAACAAATATAAATTTGAGGATTAAAAGATAAAAAAAAAAAACATAGTTAGAGGACTAACTAATTCTCTAACAAAATAGGAAGTTTTCCGTTATCTTTGACCAAGCAGATGAAATTGAAATGAATTTGAAAGTTAATAGACCACTTAGAAATAAAACATAGTTTCTAGACTAAAATGAAATCAATGTGATAGTTAATAGATTAAAAATTGAATTAAGCCAAAAGTAAAATATCCAAATGCACCCCCAAAGCAGGACGGCTTTACTTTGAATAAAAAATGAAGATAAATTCACTCATAAAGTTTTCAATTCAATTTGAACAAATCACGTCAAACTTATCATGTGATTTCATTTAATGTCAGTAATTTGTTAATTTGTCATGTCGTTAATAACAGATTGTTGACATCAGATAATATCAAATTAATTGATTATTGATATCAAATAATATTACACATTAAATTCAGGGTAATTTGTTAAAATTAAAAATTTTATAAGTGGATTTATTTCTGTTTTTTGTTTATGATGAATTCATCTTGTTACTATACTTTCACTATACTTTAGCGGTAGATTTAGAAATTCTGCCCGCATAAATGGCTTGACTTGGGATCTGAACGTCAATGGACATTAAAGGGGTACTGGTTAATCATTTTCTATAGAAATCATCGGAATGCTTTTCTCTTCTTTTTTTTTCTTTTTTTTTCTTTTTATTGAACAGTGCTA